AAATAACTCGCTTAATTTTGCTCATTGCTTTGTATTCTACTCAATGTTAAATATTTATTATTGCGGTGACACCAAAAGTTTGTGGTAAATTTTCAACAAATCAGTGGTTTTATTTTAGGCCAATGCGATTTATAAATTATTTCAATTTATTGTTAGAAAAGTTGTTGTATATTTTCACAAATCGGTGCACGTGATTTAATAGTGACACCGAGTTCAAAAGTAAACGAATAATGAAAAATACGATTTGAAGTGTTGTTTGTCGAATTCTCGCCTAAGCGTTTACAGGAGAACACAATTTTTTTAGCACAATTTTCATACCTGTTTGCTACACAAATAATATTAAATGAGAAAAAAACGTTATAAACATTACTACTACGTACTAGATGGTATAATAACAAAAACGAGTAAACGTTTTCAAAATTTTACCCAAAAACGTATAGCTGTAATTACAATTGTATGACCAAAGTGTGAGTCTGAGTTTACTGTTTTTCTTATATTTTTCGATAAATATTATTTTGACACCATACGACTGACAATATTCTTTATCATCAACACGATGACTATGATTGGACTCCTCTTACTTAAGATGGATATGTGATTTAATAAAATATATAACCAAAATTTGTATTATTCGTTGTCCTACTTTGATATACAAAAAAAAAAACTTTAAATCGAATTACAGAATTTAAAAAAAAGTAAACGTCCTATTCATAAATACATTACACTGATGTTTCATGTTGTTTGTTAGACCTATCTTCATACTAATTATCAGTTCTTAAATCTTAAAAATGCGCCAAAAATATGTCAACCTTTCTCGCAGTGGGGTGGGGGGTAGTCAACATTTCGGTTTTTCCAAGTGCGATTTTGTTGATAGCACATTTTATATTGAAAATGCTAAGGTTATAATAAATCGAAAATATTTTCAAAAAAATATAACATTTCGGCATTTGTGCACACATGAGGATGTCTGAGTACATTCTAACATACAATATGCGCACATAAATATTGTATTATTGTGCGGTTTGACAATCGAACGAAGCAAATACTGTTAATTTTTAAATGTCGATAGTGTTTTAAAAAAGTATTTAAACAGCGAAAATTGTAATAAAAATAATTAGGATTAAAGGAAAGATAAACAGAAGAAGTTAAGACGAAAACAATTGCTAATTGTTGTAAATTAATTTTCATAAAAAAGGCATAAAATTGTAAATGTCACATTGCCGGCGATAGTATATTTTATTTAGTAGATATATGAAATAGGTATTGATAAAAGCACTGTGAAGGAAATAATGTACTTAAAATTAGCCTATAATTATTGCATACAACTAGTACGAGTCATATTTTTGAGGAAATTCAATTTAAAGATTAAACCTGCTCCTAAATGTTTAATTTTAATACTTTGCAATTATTATTGCTACCTGATGTCTGTTGTTTTAATTTTAAGCTACTTAGTTAAATCTCAGCCAGACACCAGAATTTTAGGTGATAGATATTTATGCCTACACCACCTTTACCCAAATGACGGTACTAGTTATTATAAAATTTAAATTATAACTTAATATTATATTAATATAGCGAGTGAGGATATTATAGAAAATTGGCAAATCAAATTTAACCAGTATGATGATAATAAGGATAGTTTAATCTCTTAGGGGTTTTCAGAAATTATTATTCGAAGTCAATAAGTCAAAAGCGACACAACAATGTTCTGCGTTCATATCGTTGTACAATCAGTTGATATAAATGTTTTCTGGAGATGATCAAATTATATTTAAACAATTTTATAAATTGTAACTACTAATGACAATTTTTAGTTTTTTTGCATTTTTCCATAATTTTGAATTTTTTTACTTATTTCCTTTACCTTTTTTTTATGTATTAAATTACAATACAAAGAGCTTTTTAATAATTTACTGTTCCAACTTTTAGTAAGATACATAAAAAAAATGTAGGTACTACATTTCACAATTTGCCTATAACATATATTTTGTCCCAAGACGTATAAATTTGTATTTGTGTATCGTCAGCCGTAGCAGCTGAATCGCAAAAAAAAAAGATGACTCACGTCATAAGTATACTTTAACAACTGTCAACTAAGGCCACCGTTCGACTGTTTATGATAAATTTCAATATTTTTCATAATTATCGTTACTTTTAGTAGCTAGCATAAAAAAATTATTAAAATATAAACTGCTAAAAGTTGCTCTGTATTTTCGGCAAAATATTTTTTATTTTAAAAAAAAAGTCAAGCGTATAAGTTTGAATTTAAGTTTAAAAAGTCCACTTTTTTTTTGACCCCCAGAAAAACTACTAAACGTTTTCAGCCGTTATTTGGCTACATTCGTTTACTTTGACTACTTTTTGTTCATCGATAATGAAAACAAAATAATATATCGTTGTAAAACATACACCTTACAATAATATACAAGTACCTTCAAATTTGCTACTAAAACCTGTGATTCTTGTAGTTTTGGTAATTGGACACTTCAGTTTGTGTAAAAAAAATATTTTCAAAATACAAATAAGCGTATTATCATTAATGTATCACCCTGTTACAGATATAAACATACAACAGGCTTTTGCGAGATTTCGTTGATTAGTGGACTTGTTGGTTCATCTTGACCTAAAATGAGGCCCCTAATTTTTTTAACATGGATATGTCATTGGGCTGGGGGTCAATTGGAAAACCTGTGCGAACGCTGAACATTACCGACTATATATAGATATCGCGTTTTCAATTGTAATTTTGTGTTTATTGAGTTCGGCTAACTTATGGGAACAACTGACGGTAGATTTTTATTCAAACTATTGATGATCAATTGCATTTTTAAATTTAATTAGATTAAATTGTTCAAACAAGGGGTGTTATCGATACATTTTTAATGAACTCCTTGGTATAAAGAATTGAATAACAAAAAATACATTAGACATTTTTACCAGATTACCCAATCAATAAAAAATTGAACAATTTTTGGAAACTCTTATTGGAATTCATTATATGTGATTAAAAATTACAGTCTGACCAATAATATGATATCGCTAGATTAATGTATCAGTTAAATGACTCTGAAAGAAGTTTCTCTTTATCCATGTGTACTAGATTTTTTTATTAAATTATTTTTTACTGAATTCTTGCCTAAGCGTTTACTCGAAAACATAATTCTACTTCATTAAAAAAACACTTGTGTGATTCGATGTGCGTTTAAATTTTACACTGTTTGCACACATGAAATACAGTGCGCGTTTGTGTTAAAAGTATTATACAAAGCCAAAAAACTGTGTCTATTTTTTAGATACCCATGTTAAACTTGCATTTTAATAACGGTGTACGACAAATACTCATGGTCCTTAGAAATTCAAGGCCAACATGACTTGTTGACGACTTGTTTATAGTTATTATAAAACCACCTACGTGAATCATTTTTTATTTTTTACCATACAATGATATTTCAAGGTTATTGTGATTTTCCGCCCTTGGGTAACAGGATTTAGGGAGCGGTGATTTTGAAATCTCTTATAGCAATCTGTATATTAATTTAGTTATGCTTGTTAAGCTATTTTTTTGGTAAAAGAGAATTTGACTGAACTTTTAAGCTTATAACGTCAATCAAAAGATCCGTAGCCTTATGAAATATTTTTAAAAAAATGAGATTTCTACAATAACCGTAAAGCATTTGAAAGTCTTTAAATCATTTAGTTAGATAAACAGGGTTATTATAATTTTTATACAAATATCTACTGTTGAATTAATATATTAAAATCTTAAAACTGTACAACCACTATTAGTTTTATTTATTCCGTTCAACGGCAGTGTCTAATGAAGCCTTAAAATAATTATTATATTGTTTTTCATTTTTATGGCGTCTAAATAATTTATGTTATTCTTTAATATAAATTGTCAACTTTGCCAATGATTTCTTCATGACCTTTTTAACACAACCGCGGTTCTAAAAGATCATCAATGTGTTATGGGTTTTTCAGAAACGTTTGAAATATATTCGGTAATACGAGAAAAACCAGTAACATAACATAAAAAATATATATATAAAATTCTAAAAACATGACCCACAACATAGGCGAAACAGCGCAGGATAAATGTTTCGGATATACTTACCTTGACATATTGGTATAACAGTTTTAAACATTTACTTTTATTATTGAAATGGTTTTTTCCCCCAACCTTGTAGGTACATATTTTTCTACATTTTTAATATTTAGTGTTACGTATCAGCAGTTTATTTAAATATATATGGTGGAGATTGTCCACCATACGCGATTGCTACTCCGGCACAACTTGTTTTTCGTGTAATTTGGGTTTCATAATAAACATCAGCGAATATTGTTATTTACATTAATATAATTATGTTTTACTTTCATACTAAGGTAAAACAAATTGGCGTCAAGGAAAACTCATTATTTCTCACATAGACCATACCTAAGTTTGAATTTTCTACTTGTCTTTTTAGCATTGATTAGATAACTAAGCGAAAACAATTTTTAATTATTAACTTCAATTTGAAACGATTTCTTTGATTCAATTGAGAAAATTGTAAATATTGTATATTATGTTCAGCTACGATGCGGAGCTGAGAAAGTATTGTTTATACACGGTGGGTTTTATCATTTAATTTGTTTTCGTGTATGTTGTAACTCATAATTGTTTTTAACCAATAAGTAATAACTTAAAGTAACTTAATTGGCCAAAAATATTTTATCCTTTCCCCTTTCAAACCGAGAAGTACTAACAAAAATATTACATATTTAAAAATTTTAGTATAAAAAAATTAAATTAAATAAAATATTCTTTAGACAAAACCTATCGAAAATCGTTGGCAATATATGCATATGTTTTGCACGTGAGTAAACAGTTTTACAAGTAAATTTACTAAGTTCTTCTAAAAATAACACCGAGAGAGTGCGTGTATGAAAAATGGCATACAATGCAAATAAAAACGTTCTTGAATATCTTTTTTTACTTTAATCGGCAAAACTTGATAGTTACAAATTTAAAATTGTTTTCAGTCCTGAAGTATATGTCCTTATAGTAGGTACTGCGCTAATTCATACTATTTGAATCACAGTCACCAATCAATAATACAATACTCAATTTACATTATAAAATCTTCATAAGTATCGAATAGTTTCTAAACAGTTTTTATTTCCTAAACTTATAATTTAACATTCTGAATCCGAGTTTATTTTTTTGATAAATTAACATGTATTTGAAAAGTATACTGTTTTTCTGCGTGGCGTCATTCTTTTTCCAATGTCAAGGTGTCCCCCCAACTGAAGAACAGCTTGTAAGTAAACAAGCACTTATTATTAAAAATTAATAATAAGTGCTCGTTCAGCGTTATACAGAGATGGACATTATTGAGAAAATTGTTTACCAAAATATTTATTTAAATCATTTTTTTATTAAAATGACCGATGAATAATTTTTTCGAAAGATTGACTCTGAATATATGCCAAATATAGGCCCGAGCCTACCCAACATTTTTTATATATGGGGCATTCTGAGTCAAATCACGCGGTCATCGGCCTGACCTCCTCAATTTTTTTTTTAAAAACTTCTTTTAGTTTAACATAATTTTTTGGAATTTTTTATCACTAATTTTTGCCCCAAAAATAGAGTTTTTTCAAGTTATTAAAAAAGGAAAAATTTTTTAATTTCAGTTTTTTTATTAAAAAAAGTTTTAGTCACTATTTTGAATTTATCATTTAGTTCTAATTTGAACGTTGAACGTACGACATATCTCTTATCTCATATCAGATAACAACGTAACAGATTAACATTCGAAATGGATCCCTTTGGTAGCTTTGGGCGCGTAACAGCGTAACAGCGTAACGCTTTTTTTGGTAACACTTTTTTTCGGTTATTCGCCAGGGTTATGTGCCAGAACCTAAGACATGAAAATGTCAAAAAAAATTTTAAAATTAAAATTTTCTTGGTAAATTTTGATTTTTTGCATATTTTAGGAGTATAAAGTGAAAAATTTTCCTTACGAATAACATTAAAAATAATAGGGAGGGGCATAGTGTGGGCGCAGTGGAGACCTGAGCTGCCACGCGGCATCTGAGGTTAAGCTATGTCCGTTGCTGCTTGATCCAGGATGGGTGACCACCCGGAAAAATTGTCATTATTAAAAAAAAAATAGAAATAAATCTCGGCCTACACTCGTTATTAGTCGAAAAGATTTGATTTAAGTCTCTGATTTTATGATAAAAATGTCAAAAATTTTAAACTGGTCGAAATCGATTTTTTTTAAAAAGTTACGTACAAAACCTCTATTTTTGGGGCAAAAAATAGTGATAAAAAATTAAAAGAAGTTTTAAAAAAAAAAATTGAGGAGGTCAGGCCAATGACCGCGTGATTTGACTCAGAATGCCCCATATATAGGGGAAAAAATTAATTATTAATAAGAATAATTATTAATAACTTTGTTTATCAATAGTTTAAAGTGGGCCAACCAAAAAAAAATTCCTAGTTACGCGCCTGTGTAAGTGCAAATTTTACTGTTCATCAGAAAACGTGAATTATAATTTTAGTGTAATGGTAACCGTACACGATGGTAATCGACAAAACTGCTCTCTAGGGGTCAATAATAGGTATTACACTCATGCCTTGGTTTTACTCGATAAAATTAAATGTTATCATACTGTTTTCGTACTTAAATCAAAAAATTAAAAAATTTGCACTTACACCATTGTTCCACTGGAGAAGCGATATATTGTTTAAAAAATGTATTTAATGTTCTTACAATCGCCAGTTACTCTTAAAAAAATATTTTTCACTTATACTGAACATACTTTAACACTTATTCTGAAAATTACAGACTATGATTAAAGAAAAAATCGCGTCAAAAGTGGGGGATGATGGCAAAATGGACTTTACTCAATTAAGTAAAGTATTACTCGAAATAGGACAAACAATCGACAAAAATTATGATGCAAAGGATATGGATTTCGGTAATAGATATTAGAAAAATGTTGACAAAACCATTTAATAATCAATTTTGTTCTTTATATAGCTAAAAATTATAAAAAAATTTTAACCAAAAAATCATAACTCTTAAACCAAATAAAAAGTTTAAAAAAACGGGTACATTTTGATGATGTACAAAACAAATTATAAAATGTGATAAGTCATTAACCAATATCACTATAAATATATAATGTGAATTGACTTTATTATTCTAAAATTACATTAACATAAAAAACAAATGTTTTGTAATTTTAACACGATACTATTCTCGATTCCCTTGCTGTTAAATTTGGTTATTTAAATTTATACTATGTACTTTCAGGTTTCCTTTATACAAATGACCAAGTTGAAATCGCCATCCTATCGTACACAACTAAAGGAACACCAAGATTAAATGTAAATAAAAACTATAAAACTATATTACAGATAAAAAGCTCGTTCGTTTATTTGTGTTGAGATATTCGAAATATTCAAACTTTTAATTCTCCCATTTAAAATAGGGTTAACACTTATAACTCTAAAAAGTATAGGTTTTTATTATTAGTATAAAAATTCTTAGCTTCTCGAATTATAACGTTTTTTTTCTCAAACCATAAAATGATTTTGTTACTGATTTCTTACATAAAAAACTAAATAAATATAAGAAGCTTACAAAAAGATTTCTTCCATTGTTTTAAACAGAAATGAAAAATTAAAATGCTGGGTACGCTTCAAAAAGTTCCGCGGGGAGGGGGTTTTCACCAAAGGTTTGTTCATAGTTTAACGTTTTGGTTCGCTAAAGCAGGATTAGTTTTTGAGTTAATTATAAAATACATTTTAAAATTAAATTCTTATTCTGAAAATTATAGAGATTGGTTAGTGACATAGTCGAGCAAATTATGAAGCAAGATGACTACGTAAAGTTTGATAAAATAAAAGCCATATGTGCCAAAGTAGCTAAGGAAGCTGACATAACAACCACAGACTTCGCCAGTATGGATGTGTTTGAAAGGCTAGAATTACAATCAAGTAATTAAAAATGTATAAAAATATTCAATAAATATGTTGAGTAAAATGATCAAAAACCATTGAAAAGATATCATCATTAACAATCAAGTGTAATAACTATAAAAAAGTATTGTTTTTTAAACTAAGAGTTAGTAATAAATAAAACCTAATAAAAAATTGAAAAAATTGGGACCTTATTTTTATTACATTACTATTCTAAAAACTACTATTATTTTAAATATTGATACTAAATATTGATGTTTTTCTAGTATACCACATAGTTATTCTCAACTCATTTGACCTAATTCGTTTATTTAAAAAATATATAATATTTTGTACTTTCAGACCGTATGTTTGGGAAGGATGAAGTTATGACCTATGCCCTAGCGTTTGCTGCTACAAAAGAACCTGGAATACGTGTAAATATAAACCATAATACTATATTACAGATAAAAGGCTTGTTAGGTTGGTTTTGTGAGATATTCAAAGTATTCAAACTTTCAAAAAAGTTAAACATCTGCCATTTTTTCTTTTCTGGATTCGATAGATATTGTCTTTCTCTTATACCTAAAAAATATGTACGTACTTCCCAATACTAAAACAGTAGGATTTTCATAGTAAATTATTTTTCCACTCATTATTTACATATAAAAAGGTATTTAATAGAAGAACCATTTTCGAACGAATTTTTCCAATTATTGATACAGTAAAAGAGAATTTAAATATAATATCTTCTCCCATTTTTTACAAAATATGAAATCAATACGTTAACTACTATAAAATTGATGTTTTTTTTTTGCATATAAAAACTTATTTTGTGTGTTGTAGATAGCAGTTTTTATTTCGCTAAAGAGAAATCAGTTTTATTTGTAACTTGTAATACACTATTTAATTTCTAATTATTACTCTTATAATAATAGGCAATAATAAAAAAAGAGATCCAGCGTCGTGATGGTTGTCTATTCAAATATTATGAAGACATTATAGCAATATGCATGGAAGTAAAAGCTAAAGCGCATGTACCCATGGAAATACCCACATATGAGCAATTCATAGAGACATGGAAAAGTAATATAACAATAGAGTAGTATTCAATAAATGTGTCGAGTAAAACGTTCAAAAACTATTGCAAAAACATTATGATAATAAAATTTGTCATTTTTTTTTTTAACTTAATATTAAAACTCGAAAATAACTAACAAATTAAAAAACTTTTTTGATGTACAAAAAAAGAATTAGCGTGAGATACGTGATATTACATTATTCAACTCGTACGATTATTTGAAACAAAGACGTTTTTTTTAGTGTAACATTGTTATTTTCAACTCAATTGGCCTGATATGTTTGTTTACATAATGTATAATAATTCATATTTTATACTTTCAGATGGAGAATTCACAGCTAAAACAGCTGAAAAACTCATCATTCGAAATTTTTTTTTTTAGTTGTTAACTGTTCTCGAATTACTGCATGTATGTAATATTTCACATATTCACATACAAATGTAAATTTGATTGATTAATATACTATTTTGCTCTTATATTTCGTTACTATTTATTGTATTATTACCGAATCCCAGCAGATCAGTCCACGGTTCAAACCCGTAAACAAAACCAGTGACTTTGTTTTGTAACCAGTCACTTTTTATTCTGTAAAAATAATATTTAAACATTAATACCAATTCAAGTAACATTTCGAATTTGTAAGCTTCGTGAAATTTTTAAACACACTTTTGTTATGCTAATTTCTAATTAAGTCCAATAGTCTGTGTATTTGAAGAAAACCAAAAACCATAAAAGGAAATATCGCATCAATGAAATTAAGAACCTCTTAAGCTCTACATAGAATCTTAAGTACACATTGCTTATTACAATCTAGCTTTTCTTAAAACGAAAACACTCTAAGTAAAATTCAAACAAATTTTCCCAAGTTTTTGCCATTTTCATGAAATTTTGTCCATATTATTTTGGCGGTATGCAATTTAAGTGACACTATTTCAAAATAAACCAATAGACTTTTTTGGTAAAAATTATCATTATCAATAGCAGTAAACATGTAAATTTAAAATTATATTATTGTATACAATGAAAAGACTAAGACTTTACAATTTGACATTTTCATATCTTTGCTCTGGCACATAACTGAAAAAATTATAACGAAAAAAGCGTTACCCAAAAAGAAATGGGGATGAAGAAGAGGTTAGGGGTGGGAATTAACTGTGGCAAATAACCGAAAAGCAAAACGAAAAAATTGTTCCAAAAATAAGCGTTACGCTGTTATCTGATATGAGATAAGAGATATGTTGTACGTTCAACGTTCAAATTAGAACTAAATAATAAATTCAAAGTAGTTTAATTCTCGATGTTAAGTTACTTTTGACCAGATAATAAACCCTACAATTTTAGCCACAAACTTGACGTTTTAATATACTAGCTTGTTACCGCTTGTTAATATACTATATCATTTTCTATAATTCCACCACTACTCTAAATTTATTCGGTACTTCAACGAGACATAAAAGTGCTCTTTCGTGGTTGCAGACTCGGCTTTGTACATTTTTTTGTAATTTTAGGTTGGGTTTCCGTTAACTATATAAAAAATATTCATCATTTTTGCTGAGAGCTATTACTGAGACAAAGGATATAGTATAAGCATTTATTTGTAAATACAGAACCTCAATTTAATACTTTCTAACTTTACTGGTTTATACTGTGCTTGGTATGGACTGTACTGACTTGAAAATACAAACTACCGATTTGCATCGAAGCGTTTTTTCGAAAGTGATTTTATCACTTTCAGATTTAAAAATTCTTGTAAACCTGTGACCTCCCCGTCCCCACTATGCCTCAACCTTACTGTACTGGTTTTTTTTTTGCAAAAACGTAGTGGACCAACTAACACATATATAATGTCTTGTTATATTTAGTTGGGATGGTGACGATTCATGTTACAAAACAAAATGCAACTAAAAACCTTTTCATAGATCCATAAAATGTAAAGGTTGGGGTAGTGAAACGAGTTTTCCCATTTAAATATATTGGAAAATCGCCGGTTTTACTGCCCCACCCTGTATATTAATTTATGTTATTTCTAAAGAAAAATTGAGTTTCTAACATTTAAATAAAATTAAATCGTATACTGGTACTGTGATGGAGAATAACGAGATAACAACAGTGGTTTTGTCGTGTCAGAACCATTAAGTGTCTTAATAAGTACACGGATCGGTTTTTTCCCAACAAATCGTGTATCTACTATAATCAGTAACACGATTTAATCGTCTGTGATATCATGTAATAAACATAATATTATGATACCGACCACTGGTCCTAACCTAACCTAACACGGGTCAACGTTACCAACCGACAGTTTTTAGCGTCTCTTCGTTTCTCACATCTGGTACACCGTGTTTGTAATTGGTCCAGTATTAAAAAAGTTACAGTGTATACAGATAAAAAAAAGCTCACATCAGAATAAAACCAATACCTTCGCCGCTCTGCATCAAAGCTAACACATTTTTCTGAATTTTTAAGTAAAAGGCTTCAAATTATATGTTTTTGGGGTCGGTGATTACGAATTCAATATCAGTTTTTAAATTTACTTAGCTAAAAAAAATTGAATTTGTGTAAACTTAAAGTCAAAAGTGGTACTTGAGCACAAAACTTAAAAGTATCATTCTGCATAAGTATACATAAAATTGTTTTAATGATTTGATACATTTTTTTAAGATTTTAGGGTTTTTTGTTAAAATGTACGCAATCTGCGAAAACACAGTTTTCCGGAAATTAAAGGAAAACTGTAGTGCCGAATTTTTTTTCCGTTTAATATATTATAGATACATATAAGTTCTAACTACTGGCGAATTTTCAATCCAAAGATCTTAAAATTACAGCTAAAAACCCCAAAAAACTTGTAACCCCCCTAGGGGATGTGAAATGGGTATAATTTAAATTTGATTTAACTGACGTGTACGGGCATACCAAAAAAGTATTCCTAATAAATTTAAACTCAATCCGAATCCTTTTTTTGAAATTATAGCCAGTTAAAATTCTAACTTAAAAACTCGAACGGTTTTTTTTTTTGTTTTTTCAAATTTCGACTGTGAAGAAGTAAATTTTTTCAACTTATTTCCCCCCCTCCCTTCCTCAAAATACCAATTAGATAAAATTTGTAATTTATAGAGTTGCTACTCGAAGTAATTGGTCCAGTATTAAAAAAGTTAGTGTATACAGATAAAAAAAAACCACACAGAGTAAAACCAATACCTTCGGCGCTTTGCATTGAATCTAAAATTATATTATTAATTAGATATATTATAAACCATCTCATGAAGGCAGCGTTGGGCCTTCCTGGCCCGTTAAGCTACATGATGATGACGATGAAATATATTATTATATTATTGAATTACTCAGACATGATGCTTCGTCTAGCTCATTTCCAAAAATCAAAGGATCTAATACGTTTCCATTTACGTCTTTTTTTTCGTTGTGGTTTCCCTATGTTCAGCGAATACTTTAACGGCCACTCCTCAACAGCATCAAAGCGTTAATTTGAAAGTGATTTTATCCGAGAGGACTAGTGCAGTAGAATATAGGCAACGGAGAAATTAAGGCAGATCTCAAAATACAAAAATAAAATACGAATTTGAGAACCCTCGTTCTACGGGTTAAGCCTATTTGTTGTTTTGCCTTTAAACATTGTCCATCTGCTTTCAACACAATAATGTAAAAGAAAAATTAAATGACAATGCTATAGGGAAAAAGTAAGTGTAATGGATAATGGGTAATTAAGAACCGACGGTGTTTATGCCAAATAACTCTTCTATAACCCAGTTCCTACTAAAAAGATCTTATTAGTACACATATTTTATTTTCATAAAACTAACTATCTTTTTTACACAGCCTAGTAAGTCAGGTAAGTGTGTTTAATTTCCATTTACCTTTAAAGGACATCGTGACTGTAATAAAAATGCATTTACTAAGGCACATTACGCGGGAAATTTTTCCCTTAAACTTAAAATTAAGTTAAAATAAGTAAACATATATTTTAACATAAGAAAGTGAGATCTATTTACATACTTAATTTTTATTTCTACATCAATAACGGTTACAGGCTCTATTTTTGTACAATAACATATGTTTCTATTCCAAAGTATTCTACAAAACGTGTTGTGCAGTACATAATATATACAATAAACTAAAAAAAAAAATGTTTATAAACTTAGTTTAGAATCATTTTTTTTCTCAATTTTTACACTTTTTCGACCCAGTGTGTCCTTTTATGCATTATGAGATGACCCGGTTGTGAGAAAGCCTTTAGGCATACTTTACACTGAAAAGATCTCTCACCAGTGTGAGTCATTCTATGTTTGTTAAGATAACTAGATACTGAAAACGCCTTGAAACATAATTCACAATTGAAAGGCTTCTCGCCCGCATGTGTCCGTTTGTGCAGTTTAAGATTTTCATGTTGTGAAAATGTCTCCAAGCATATTTCACACTGAAAAGGCCTCTCGCCCGTGTGTGACCTTTTGTGCGTTTTAAGATATCCAGAATATGAAAATGTCTCCAAACATATTTCACACTGAAAAGGCCTCTCGCCCGTGTGGGTCCTTTTGTGTGTTTTAAGATTTCCAGACTGTGAGAATGTCTTTAAGCATACTTCACACTGAAAAGGCTTCTCGCCCGTGTGTGTTCTATTGTGCATTTTTAGACTTCCATACTGTGAAAATTTCTTCAAGCATACTGAACATTGCAAAGGTGTATAGCCCGTGTGCGTTTTGAGATTACCAGATTGTGAGAGTGCTGCTTGTTGTGAGAACACTTCGCATTGAAATAGGTTTTCATGTTTTTTGGGTTGTGCGAATGTTCTTGAGCATAAGGTACGTTGAATTAGTTTCTCGTTAGACATTATCAGTTCTTCCTGCGTGGATGGCTCTTCTTCAGTAAAAAATCGGTCATGTTTTATTGTATTGAATGTATCGCTAAAACAACATAATTTACAATTTATTATGGTAGTGAATTGTGTATGTTTAAACTTAAAGTTTGAAGTTTAAAACAAAATAAAAAACATAATTTTTTTAAGAAAATAAAACAAAATATTTTTTTTAAAAATCACACACGAGTCAGAATCTTTGGAGTTGAAAATATACATCACAACTGTACTCATAGTGATCATTGTTTAATAATTTTTATTTTTATAGGTATACAAAATAACCAATACTTAATGCATTTCATATTAAAAGTCTTGTGATGATATTTTTTTGGGGGTATTTTGATGATTGAATGTACGACACCACAAGGATATTTTTAACTATGAAAATTCAAATAGTAGTAATTATTTTTAACCTATTCATGTACATTTTTATTAATAGCTAATTACATTTGGATCGGTTTTATTTCTTATATGTGAACCTACTAATGAATAAAGTAATATGATTTTTATAAAATGTACACAAACGGTACTTTTATGCAGTTAAGGGCCAAAAAAAAATATTGTGTAGCTTATTAATACACTATAATTACGTTTTGGTATCATATGATA